CCCCCCGAGAGAAGAGAGGGCCAGCGGCGGGACATGGACGCATCCCCCTGCCCGCCTGGCGGCAGAGGATCCATCCAGGGGCGCGGACGTCCGGTCACAGAGACCCGGACGACAGCCATCGAAAATCCGAAATACAAGAACGCGAATCATGAGAGGATCACACACACGTGCCACTCACATGTCCACAAACCGGCCTCATGGCCGGCTCCATGAAAAACGATCCCTACCCCCGCTTGCGCCTGGGTGGGCAAAAAAAGCTTCAATGCTGGTCCGCATCCCGGCGCTCGGTGTCGTCCCTTCTTCTCGAGTATGCCACACCGCCCCAGGCTGCGTCCGATGCCAGGGTTGGTAGTTGCGGTGTTCCTTTGGTGCCCGGCCTCTCCCGCCCCCCTTCCTCTTGTGCGTTCTTTCTCTCGCCCAGGCTTGGGATTGCTGCCAGGAGCATACCATCATGGGCGGGGCGAGGGGTGGGGGGGGGGGGGGGGCACACAAGCCCAGCCAAGAGCGGGCTCCCAGGAAGAGTCCGGAGACGCGGTGATGCGAGGCTGGGGCAAAATTCCGCCCTTTTCGCCAGCGCGTCCGCGTGCGGGCTACGTTGGGGCGAGTTTGGCTGGTGGGGATCGTCCCTCGACCCAGCAAAGAAGTTGCGGTCCGCCCGCCACCCGCGCGGGTTCCCGTCCGCCGCCCGCCCCGAAACCAGTCATACATGTGAGGGCGCTTGGCCAGCCCGGGTGGCGGCCGATGTGGACCGCGCTCCCTGCCGAGGTGGGGGGGGGGGGGCAGTCTCCACGCTGGTCTCCGCGTCTATGTGTTTGTCTGTGTGCTTGCCCGCCGGGCGGGGAAAAACCCTCGCGACAAAGTGGGCAACAGGGCCGGAGGGGAAAACGGTGGTGACTGTGTAGACTCTACAGCTCCGCCGAGTGGGCGCGCGCCCCATAGGTGGCGCGCACATGGACACGCACACATGCGAAAGCGCATATCCGAGGGAGGGGCGCACAAGTACGGATGCTGGTTGCCGCCAACGAGGGGCCTCCAGTGGGTGTCGGCGTGTGTGCGCGTGTGTGTGTGTGTGTGTGTGTGTGAGTCTGTGCGCGTGCGCATGCGTGCATGTGCGAGTCGGCGGGTCCGACCGCGCCCCTGTCTACCAGGCTCAGATTGATCTGAGGCCCCAGTGCCCCGGCGCGGCGGCCTCCAGACTTCCATCCCTCCTCTCGACTGTCCTCCTCTCCCTTCGCTGCTGTGTGACACGTCGATCTCCTTCCTCCCTCTCTCCCCCCCCTCCCCTCCCTTCCCCCGCCACTCCGCTTTTTGTTTCTTCCCTTCCTGTGCGTCACCACACCCGCCCCATCCGCGCTGCGTCTGTTCTCCATTTCCCGCGGTTCCCTCCCGCCCCGCCACCTTTCATGCTCGTCGCCTCCCATCCCCCAACCCATCCCTCCCCTCCATCCCCCTCCCCCTCCCCCCCCTAACACCTGCCTACTCTCTCCCTCTGTCTTCCTCCTCTCCTTTCCTCCTCCACCCCCCCCCCCCTTCCGGTGCTTGTAGACCATGTCCCGCAGCAAGGACCGTCGTAAGGCCGCCCGCCGCGGTAACGCCGCGGCCGAGCCCGACATCAGTGGGCTCTCCATCCAGGATAAGGTGTTCAGCCCTCGGTCGGTGACCGGCAACCTGACCTCGCATCCCCGGTCGCGCGATGTCCACATCGAGCAGTACTCCCTGCTGTACCACGGCCAGGAGCTCTTCGCCGACACGACCCTCGAGCTGAACCATGGTCGCCGGTATGGTGTCATTGGTGAGAACGGCTGCGGCAAGTCCACCCTGCTGGAGTCCATCAGCGAGCGTGACATCCCGATCCCGGACCACATCGACGTCTTCCACCTGAAGCGCGAGATCGAGCCCTCGGAGAAGACGGCCCTGGCCGCCGTGATGGAGGTCGACGAGGAGCGCCTCAAGCTGGAGCGCATGATCGAGGAGTGCATCACGGCCGAGGGCGCCGACAGTGAGAACCTCATGGATCTGTACGAGCGCCTGGACGAGCTGGAGGCCGACACGGCGGAGATGCGCGCGGCCAAGCTGCTCTCCGGTCTGGGCTTCACCAAGGCCATGCAGGCCAAGATGTGCAAGGACTTCTCCGGTGGCTGGCGCATGCGCATTGCCCTGGCGCGTGCCCTCTTCGTCCGGCCGTCCATGCTTCTGCTCGATGAGCCGACCAACCATCTGGATCTGGAGGCCTGCGTGTGGCTGGAGATGGAGCTCAAGAAGTATGATCGCATCCTGATCATCATTTCCCACTCGCAGGATTTCCTCAACGGCGTGTGCACCAACATCATCCACTGCCAGAACCGCCAGCTCAAGTACTATTCCGGCAACTACGACCAGTACATCCAGACTCGTGCCGAGCTGGAGGAGCATCAGATGAAGCGCTACCACTCGGAGCAGGAGAACATCGCCAAGATGAAGGACTACATTGCTCGCTTCGGTCACGGTAGCGCCAAGCTCGCCCGTCAGGCCAAGTCCAAGGAGAAGCTCCTGAACAAGGTGGTTGCCGGTGGTCTGACCGAGGCCGTCAGCAAGGAGCGTGTGCTGAACTTCCGTTTCAATGAGTGTGCGCCGCTGCCGCCGCCGGTGCTCATGGTGCAGAATGTCTCCTTCGGGTACCCGGGCCAGCCGCTGCTCTACAAGGACCTGGATTTCGGCCTGGATCTCGATTCGCGCATTGGTACGCTCTGCCGGCGGTGCTTTCTGCTTCTTCTGCTTGTCCCCTCCCGTCCCCTGGCGCCATCTTCAAAGATGCCTGCCGCTGGTGCCGGATGGTTTTCTGATCCTGACTTTCCCCCCCCCCCCCCCCTCCCCCCCCCGGCCCCCTCTTCAGCTCTTGTCGGCCCCAACGGTGCTGGTAAGTCCACCCTGCTGAAGCTCATCGACGGTGGGCTGATCCCCTCGGCTGGCCAGGTGCGCCGCCATAACCACCTGAAGTTCGGCCGCTATCATCAGCATCTGGCCGAGCACCTGGACCTGTCCCTCTCGCCGGTGCAGTACATGATGCAGTGCTTCCCGGAGATCAACGAGGTGGAGCAGATGCGCCGCGCGGTCGGTCGCTTCGGCCTCACTGGCAAGGCCCAGATGACTCCGATGAGCAGCCTGTCTGATGGCCAGCGCTGCCGTGTCATTTTCGCCTGGCTGGCCTTCACCAACCCTCAAATGCTGCTGCTCGATGAGCCGACCAACCATCTGGATCTGGAGACCATCGACTCGCTGGCGGATGCCATCAACGAGTTCGACGGCGGTCTGGTGCTGGTTTCTCACGACTTCCGCCTCATCAGCCAAGTGGCCGAGGAGATCTGGGTTTGCGACAAGGGGACCATCACCAAGTGGGACGGTGACATTCTGTCCTACAAGGAGACCCTCCGTCAGAGTGTCGAGAACAACTAATCTTGGTCCTTGCTTGTTGGGATTTTCCTTCCGGCCATGGGTGCGTCTGTTGTGTGCCTTGCAGGGAAAGAGGGAGGCCGGGCGCCGAGAGAGCAGCAGCGGCGGCGGCGGTGCCGGCGGCGATGGCTCTCCGTCGTGCGCCCTCCTCCCCCCCTTCGCACCGCGCGTGCATGGTCCCTGGCCTGGACGAGCCTCCGGAATGTGCTTCCCTCCTTCCCCACATATCCACTCCAATATACTCTCCCCCCCCCCCCCCTCTCTCTCTCCCTCGCTCGGTCGTCGCAGCCGGGCCTCTTTGTACATTTGTCCTCTCAAGCTAAGCGTCTGTCACGGGCACCCTGTTCTATTCCTGGGATGGCTTTTCCGCCAACCGAAAGGGAAGCCACCGAGACGGGGGGGGGGGGGGCCGGGAGAATGGGGACAGGCCAAATGCCGGCGGTCTGGGGGCAGCGGGGGTCACATCTGCCCAGTCTACGGGAGTTCCGGGCCTGG